CTAGGGTCATTCCCCAACCAAAGTGACACACAGACCGAACACTGGTAAGTGTCGGTGCTACTCACTCAGACTGTACCATACCAATTGCCGGAGATGGCGAGTTGATTCTGAGTTCTAAAGAGTCTAAAGGTAATCGTTCAGGGTACCACCAAGCTGGTGGTTCGGGGAATCGGAAAGACGGACCGCACTCGATCTAACAGAGGACCTGCCGCACACTTCATCCTGCCAGTGATGGCAAATCGAAAAACACACACTGGTTGTAGCATCGAAACCCTATTATGCTGGTAGGGGAAAATTGGCGACCGTCTGGAAAACCATTAAAGGAAGACCGTGGGAGCAGTTTCTAGAAGGGGCAGACATGCTCACACGCCGCAAGAGAGACCTTGAGTTTGTACAGAAAGGGCAGGAGTCACGGATAAAAACTTGAATGTCTCCAGAACTAGAACACCCTGGGTATCACAACTGATAGCGTAACTCACTGGTGTGGTAAGAGCATCGTGTTTTCTGTGTTATTATAGCAAAATCTTATCGTACTAACTTCAATGGCGTTTGCGATATGTAGCCAAAACTGGATGGCATACAATGACCTATGCTAATAACGGTCTGTCATTCAGCTAATGTTTAGTCATCAATACTATCATGCATAATACACCCACAAAGCTGTGAAACACAATTAGTTTCCTTGATTTTGTCCCCCAGGGAATGCCTGGTATTTATTTTCTACCCACCCTAGGTGTATATTTTGGTGTTGTGGTGTTGGCAGTAGGCCAGGACCTAGATTGTCCATACCATGTAATCACACTAATTACTCTTTGCATGCCTCTCTCTAAGGCACTAATGACATCAGGTTGTGACAATTAACACATCCAGTAAAAGCCACAGCTGTGCTTGCAGTAGCAACTGATCAACAGCCTTAGTCATTCATTCTCCCCTCGCCATCCTTAATAGACAACTATTGTTTGTTTTCCTGTTTCTTCTAGCCTTGTTACTCTGACCACACAGGAAATCCATAATAAAAGTTCCCTATATACCCAGGTGGCACTCATCTATCCCAGGGTATACCCTTCACTTGCTTTGCTGGTGTTGTTTATCTTTCGAAATCGCTCTCTCTATATGTCATCTACATACATTATTCCCCATGCTAGCATGCGATTCGAGCTGTACCAATGGATCATGCGGTGTCCAACGATTTCGGAGCTGGGAATTGCTGTCCCTTCTATGACAACAGTACGTGTGTGGAAGATTGTCCGGCTGGGACTTGAGCAGATGACGACTTTGACTGCAACTGCACTGGCAACTTTCTGAACCCACCAGACTGCAACGGTGTGTGTATTGTGTTTGCTAATGTGTCAAATACAAGTTTTTATTGACCGTAATAAGAGTTGTGTCTCTTCTTGTTGTATAGACTGTTCTTAGGATGTCAAAATGTTTACACAATGTGTTGTATGGTTTTCAGTGTTTGTCAGGTTAAAAGAATTATGTTGCATGCATTTTTGACGTCCTATAATATACCAAAGTGTAGAATACCCTTAATTCTATTGTCAGCTCTTTAGTTAGTCCACAGCATCTGGGCTGTTGTTGTTGTGTTGTTGTTGTGCAATCTCAGGTAGTTGTGTGGGCATTGAGACTGCCTACTCTGTGCTGTTTTTGACTTTGTATATAGCTCCCAGCAGAGAAGTGTTATTATGGACGCGTGTGGTTCGGTTACCATACCTCACTTGTCACACTGCCACCATTCAGCTGAATGAGTGATTTACATAACTCTCCTGCATTGCTGGGGGTGTTAGTGTCACGGCATGTACATAATTATGTACGTAAATTCATTGGTGGAATATATAGGTAGGATGGTTGCACAGTGTGTATATACATAATCCTTTAACGGATATTCATACTGAAAGTTGAGGATTGTGCTTGGAAACAACACATTTCTCACAAAACACACTCACTTACACCTTATCCCCACTACTACCAACTACACAAACACACACGTGCATACAATTTTCACCGCACACACTCATTCTCTATATCCCATCAACAGTCTGTGGACTACCGTGTGAGAATGGAGGGACACCCGAAGAAACAAACTGTACTGAATGCATGTGTCTTGGAGGATATACCGGACAGTTTTGTGAGCTAGATATCGACGAATGTGAAGAAGATATGCCTTGTCTGAATGAAGCCACTTGTCTCAATACCAATGGATCTTTCACTTGCATGTGTCCCCCAGGATATACCGGACAGTTTTGTGAGCTAGATATCGACGAATGCGAAGAAGATATGCCTTGTCTGAATGAAGCCACTTGTCTCAATACCAATGGATCTTTCACTTGCATGTGTCCCCCAGGATACACCGGACAGTTTTGTGAGCTAGATATCGACGAATGCGAAGAAGATATGCCTTGTCTGAATGAAGCCACTTGTCTCAATACCAATGGATCTTTCACTTGCATGTGTCCCCCAGGATACACCGGACAGTTTTGTGAGCTAGATATCGACGAATGCGAAGAAGATATGCCTTGTCTGAATGAAGCCACTTGTCTCAATACCAATGGATCTTTCACTTGCATGTGTCCCCCAGGATATACCGGACAGTTTTGTGAGCTAGATATCGACGAATGCGAAGAAGATATGCCTTGTCTGAATGAAGCCACTTGTCTCAATACCAATGGATCTTTCACTTGCATGTGTCCCCCAGGATACACCGGACAGTTTTGTGAGCTAGATATAAACGAATGCGAAGAAGATATGCCTTGTCTGAATGAAGCCACTTGTCTCAATACCAATGGATCTTTCACTTGCATGTGTCCCCCAGGATACACCGGACAGTTTTGTGAGCTAGATATCGACGAATGCGAAGAAGATATGCCTTGTCTGAATGAAGCCACTTGTCTCAATACCAATGGATCTTTCACTTGCATGTGTCCCCCAGGATACACCGGACAGTTTTGTGAGCTAGATATCGACGAATGCGAAGAAGATATGCCTTGTCTGAATGAAGCCACTTGTCTCAATACCAATGGATCTTTCACTTGCATGTGTCCCCCAGGATACACCGGACAGTTTTGTGAGCTAGATATAAACGAATGCGAAGAAGATATGCCTTGTCTGAATGAAGCCACTTGTCTCAATACCAATGGATCTTTCACTTGCATGTGTCCCCCAGGATACACCGGACAGTTTTGTGAGCTAGATATAAACGAATGCGAAGAAGATATGCCTTGTCTGAATGAAGCCACTTGTCTCAATACCAATGGATCTTTCACTTGCATGTGTCCCCCAGGATATACCGGACAGTTTTGTGAGCTAGATATCAACGAATGCGAAGAAGATATGCCTTGTCTGAATGAAGCCACTTGTCTCAATACCAATGGATCTTTCACTTGCATGTGTCCCCCAGGATATACCGGACAGTTTTGTGAGCTAGATATCGACGAATGCGAAGAAGATATGCCTTGTCTGAATGAAGCCACTTGTCTCAATACCAATGGATCTTTCACTTGCATGTGTCCCCCAGGATATACCGGACAGTTTTGTGAGCTAGATATCGACGAATGCGAAGAAGATATGCCTTGTCTGAATGAAGCCACTTGTCTCAATACCAATGGATCTTTCACTTGCATGTGTCCCCCAGGATACACCGGACAGTTTTGTGAGCGAGATATCAACGAATGCGAAGAAGATATGCCTTGTCTGAATGAAGCCACTTGTCTCAATACCAATGGATCTTTCACTTGCATGTGTCCCCCAGGATACACCGGACAGTTTTGTGAGCTAGATATCGACGAATGCGAAGAAGATATGCCTTGTCTGAATGAAGCCACTTGTCTCAATACCAATGGATCTTTCACTTGCATGTGTCCCCCAGGATACACCGGACAGTTTTGTGAGCTAGATATCGACGAATGCGAAGAAGATATGCCTTGTCTGAATGAAGCCACTTGTCTCAATACCAATGGATCTTTCACTTGCATGTGTCCCCCAGGATACACCGGACAGTTTTGTGAGCTAGATATCGACGAATGCGAAGAAGATATGCCTTGTCTGAATGAAGCCACTTGTCTCATACCAATGGATCTTTCACTTGCATGTGTCCCCCAGGATACACCGGACAGTTTTGTAGGCTAGATATAAACGAATGCGAAGAAGATATGCCTTGTCTGAATGAAGCCACTTGTCTCAATACCAATGGATCTTTCACTTGCATGTGTCCCCTCGGCTACAGTGGAGTGTTGTGTGATGAAGATATTAATGACTGTACCAGTTCACCTTGCCTCAACGGGGGTGACTGCATAGACGCTGGTCCTGTGGCCTACAACTGCTCGTGCCAAGAGGGATGGACAGGGGAGAACTGCGAAACATGCAGCATAGCCTTCTGCAGCAAGTGCACTGAAGGAAGGTCCCCCAAATGTACCGAGTGTTCTTCCAAAGACTATGAGCTGGACAAAGAAGGACTGTGTGGTGAGTTTTAAGAGCATCTCCATGTACATATCTACCAACCCACAAGCAAACCTTTAATTTGCTTGATATGGGATTTGCTTGGCCCAATAATGCTGAATGGGTCACCCAGGTCGTCACATATCAAGTTGGAATTAATGGACAGTATATACCTTTTGCTTTAATTCAGCAAAACGTTTGTCTTTATAGGCCTGCCATAATATCTTACCAAGTTGTCATGTTTGTGCTTACCAGCATACTTAGCAATGTTCTGAACCATGAATTTGTACACTGCATGCTCGGCTGTTTGCAGAGGGTTTTCAAGGAAAGCCAAAACGAATCCTGAAAGTGTTTGTGTTGAATATTTCATTCTATTTCTCTTTCAGTTTGCAAGGAAGGCTTCGTTCAAGATGAGGTAACAAAGGATTGCAGAGAAAAGGAGCCCTCTACTGGAGACGACAACCAAAGTTCTAATCTCGGTCCTTTTAAAAAATAGTGCTATAGTCTGCATCATTTACTTAACATTTTCCCTGCAGGAGTAATCATTGCTTGTATAATAGGGGCACTCCTGCTCTTGCTGCTAATTACTCTTCTCGTCATTGGAGCCTTCATTGCTACGAGAAAGAGAGCTAAAGCGAAACTGGAGACTGATGAGATTTCACTGAAGTTAGTAACAAGTGAAACCCGTCTACCTTAGGAAACGGAACCACTTTATAGTCATGTGATCACACTGCGTGTATATACGACGTCCCGCGCATGCGTTATTTTTTGCATCATCATCCCCTTTCCTGCAGTCGGTCATCATACTGCAATTTCGTTTTGTTCGTATTGTCGTGCAGTTGAGTTACTCAACATGCTGGGCAAGAAATTAGTGGTGCTGCTGCTGGTAGCTGTAGTGGTAGGATCAGGCTACAGTCAGTTCTGTACAATACCTACGAAAGAAAGCCTGAAGTTCGATCTGGAGGACACCGTGATTCCTCTTATCATCCAAGCAGGAGATGCTGCTGCAGCGCCTACAGTGGATGTGTTTGATTTGAGAATTGTCTGTCTCAGATTTTCTGAACAGCAAGACCTCCTACGCGGCCTTTCAGTCGTGGTGCACTACACTTGCTCTGATCACAACAGCTGTCCATCAGGAACTGTAGTGGAGCAGGTTGAGTCTGGTTGTGAAAGTGGACAGTGGACCAATAGAGTAGAAGGCTCTACTTCTTTAACTCGTTCAGAATCCACTGAAGCCAACCTTTCTACCACTGCCAGAGACGACTGTTCAGCTTGTGTGTCTCCAGAACTAGCAAGCGAGCTGGGTGTCACGACTGATAGCGTAACTCACTGTGTAGGTAAGTGAGCAATAGATCAATCCAACCTACTGTCACAGTCTTTGTTTTTCCACAGCCTGTAACTCAACATGTGATCAAGGTCTCATGAGATGCTTTGGATTTGGCGCCAGTGACTGCTGCAACTTCTACAACAACTCAGTGTGTGTGCAGCAGTGTCCCAGTCCTTTCGTTATTGGAGGAGTTCCGCAATCACATGAGATCGTTTGAAGATCTCTCTCAAATCAAGGGCCACGTTCTTGAGTTTGCTAGAGACCAGGTAAAAACAAATCAAGATATTTAATTTTATTATGGAAATCTATGCATCTCAGCTGCCCCAAAGTGTCATTTAGCTCATGGTGCTGATCGGTTTTCACTCTCTCACCTTCATTAGTGCTAATAGCACATTATATCTTATCCACTCTGCTATATTACAGGGATTTTCCTTCTCCCTACATACAGTATGGCTCTAGGTTTATCCAGCAGCAAATGGAGACAGCAACCGACGATGAAAAGGCTGACGTCTTTGCCGAGATTGAGGGCAGTGCGGCAAAGTTGATGGAGGATCTCTTCGGAAACTACGTGATCCAAAAGTTTTTCGAGTTTGGGAGCACCCCACAGATCGAAGTCCTTTGCGACCTACTCAGATGCGCGGTGTTCAAGTTGAGTCTTCAGACATATGGATGTCGAGTGGTGCAGAAGGCTATAGAGTGTCTACCACTAGAACTGCAGGTATGGACGGTGCTGAAGTTTTGAAGAGAAATAGCAGTCTCTTCTATATAGTATGAGTGTATTACATTGGTATTTACCCAAAAAGTGCCATAGTAATAACGGTGCTCCTAGATTTTTGAAGCTCTCCATACGTTTTAGAACTCTTCTTTTAAGTAGGTGTGGAGCCTGCTCTTCGAGATGGTGAAAATAGGTAACTGCTAGCTTAGCTCTATCAGGGGGTCAGCTCTCTCTGGCCACTTACACTTTGGGAGAGTTTACTTCACACTCTGATAGCTCTTTCACGCTAGTTGGGTGTACTGAAATTCTCAGCTTTGCAGACTAATCTAGTATCAGGCAATGATCAATACTTTATCAGCCTTTTACTTTCCCATGGGGAAAATAATCATGTGGGCTGCCAAGATCATACTGAGATTGTTTTACTGCCCAACAGGTTAGGGTTGTCAGTGAACTGGATGGCCACGTGGTGGAGTGTGTGATGGATCAGAATGGGAATCACGTCATCCAAAAGTGCTTCGAATGCGTCAACCCAACTTTTCTGGACTTCATCATCACTTCTTTCGAGGGAATGGTAAGCCCTCCTACTACATGTTTTTAGCATATTATAATGCAATTGCTTTAAGGAAAAGTAAACAAAGAAGTAACCAGCTTAGCTAACAAACCTGAGACAGTTTCACATTGTGTCCATAGTATTCTACTTAGTCTAGCTAGCATCAGTCACAAGTTCCTATTGGTATATATACAGTTGCTGTTCTTGTGTGTCCAGGTGGTGCCACTGGCCACACATCCCTATGGATGCAGGGTTATCCAGAGGGCTTTGGAGCATGCCAATGTTGCACAGTGTAAAAGATTGCTGGAGGAGGTCCTAAGGAACACCTACCACTTGGTGCAGGTTAGTATTAGTAATGCAAGTGGGAGGGAAAATGGACTTTTCATGTGATCATGTGACTGCAAAATGGGATTGGCACACCACACCTCGAAGCACCACTCAGACTAGATTTATGCTTGTGTATACAAGCAAAAGCAACGAGGACCAGAAGTATATCTTCTATAGAAGAGGCTTTACGAACAGCTGTGATAGATATAGTGTGCAGTGTCCAAGGTCCATTCAATACATCTGAGCATTCAACAATGCGGCAACTGCTAAATGGAGCCACTACAGGTGCACGGATTGATGAGCGTAATAGGTAGTGGTGCGTTTGTTTTGTGCATGGCTCATTGGGAACCTGTTCGTGGCTGGATATAGTAAGTGTATGAACGAACAGTAAGTATGAATGTTACCTCATTGTAGTATAATAGAGCATGGTTCGTTGGGAATCTATTCGCTGGTTGGATATGTAGCAAACAGTGAGTATATGGAGCATATGTACGTTACCTCATTAGTACAGTTGCAGTTGCCTTCCCGTTTGTGCAACGATTCGAGTCGCGTGTTTTCTCGTTTCCTCACAGGACCAGTACGGAAACTACGTTATGCAACACATCTTGGAGCATGGGCAGACTTCGGACAGGGTCGAGATCACCCAAAGGCTGCGCGGTCATCTAACTACACTCTCTCAACACAAGTATGCCAGGTAAAGGGAACTTGAAGAGAGATCACTGCTACTGTTTGGTAGGGCATTTGCACTAGACGTTTTGTTGATGGTGCATGTTTTGTTTTGTTGATAGTGGCATCAGAGCAAGCGCACACAGGTGCAGTCCAGCCTGCATGGGTATTACATGTGTTGGCATACAACATTGTATCTACTCCAGCATTTATAATCTATTGATCAACCACAAGTAGAACACCTGTCTGTCTTCCTCTCCAGCAATGTAGTTGAGAAGTGTATATCCCACTGCCCTACGAAGGCCCTGAGGTATCAGATCATCGAGGAACTGATGCTTCAAGAAAAGTGAGTATTTGTCCAAGACTGTGACCAGGGCTTTTACCCGAGATATGTAAATACGCATTTCTCTAGTCGTGAATGTATGTAGCATTGGCTAATAACAAAACATACCGCCTTGGCTGAAGCGACAACATTGCACGCAATATAGGTGTGTAGCAGTGAGCCATTTCCCCCTAGACTGCCCAATGTTAGCCTAAACAACTGAGTTAGGTATGTGGCAACAAACCATGATACCCCCAGAATGGAGTCAAACTACGTATCTGTCTTACTCTTGCCCAGCTTGTACTAATCAACTGGATTAAGTATGTGGCAACAAACCTATATACCTCTCAGTGAGAGTGGTGAAGCTATGAATATGATTAGTGTGTTGTCTCGCTCCCTTGTACAGCATCCTACTGCTGCTGCTAAAGGACCCGTACGCCAACTATGTGATGCAGAAAGCGCTGGACTGTGCTGATACTGGTGAGTGCAATCTCCTGTGGCACACCTCTTTCAAACCTTCCATATCTCCCTCTGCACAATGGCCCAAAAGTTCCTTATCACTGCACACCTTACTCTCCCCTCTCTAAGCTGGGTTCACAGTAGCAACGTGATGCAGCATGGCATAGCATCACATGTTGCATTCCAAGAATAGATATTCCATTGTCTTTGCACTGCAACCAGCCTTAATAATCCAGTCCTTGATGTGATGTCTCTTGGTCACAGGGCAAGGCAAGATGATGATGTATCGCATTAGGCCCCATCTCCCCATCCTCCGAAGATACACGTACGCGAAATACATGGTCGCCAAGGTGGACAAGATCTTCACGAGAAGTGGAGGTTGGTTGAAGTGAGCCTTCTCAAGCCAACTCCCATCTCCATCAACCAAATTCACCTTATAACTCTCAATAGTATCCAATCTCACATTATGTATTATACCACACTTTCACCCTCCGTTGTACCAACCGAACCAACTCATTTTATTGCTTCACGTGCATCATTACGTATTCACAGAAGATGGAATTGTAGCAGTGGTGATATTCCAGTTCATTGCATGTATCTGTCATAGTGTGTAGTTTGGCCAATCCAGTCATCCTCTTAGTACTTTCTTCCGGCATATTCCATGTATATTATGCATAGCTTCTCTACAAAACTGTCTTTGTTGTTCAATCACTACTTTTTGTGTCTCCGACCAATAGTATCAGTGTCTCAAACATTTTTTTTTTATGGCACTCATGTACAATTATGGTGTGAACAAAATCAGGATGAGTAGCAAGTGTTACAATAATTTGCGGAAGCATGATACAGAAATTTTAGGCCGCAAACTGCTGAGTAAGCTCAATTTTGCTTTCAGTTTTATGTGGTGGGCGTTATTTGGAGATATGGGTGGGCTTTATTTGGAGATATGGGTAGGCGAGTTGATAGTGCAAGCATTTGGTACCTGATTGATCTTCAGAGACTGTGAACCAACCTTCACCTGCAAGGAGGCAGAAATTTTGCCGTGATTGAAGGATTTTACCTGCTCGTAGGCCAATATCTAATGTGCCAATGGAAGCTGATAACATTGACAGTCCTATATATACACCTGGAAAACTATAAAATTGATCCTATAGTATCTTATTGGGAGTTTTGCACTATAATCGAGCAGTGAAATGCCAAACTGCAGCACTATATTATATACAATGTTCTATGTCTACTGTTGATGGATTCACACAACATCGTGCCTACTGTGTGTAGATATGAGGAAAACGTCTGACATCCATCTTCTAGCGATCTCTACCATCATATCTGCTGTGGCGAGAATATTAAAAGACGTTTAGCCCCAAAGGGTTAGACGAGGTTAACACATTGGGTGCTTCTAGAGACAGCGCCCAGATGTGTTAAAAGACCTGTCAGTACGCGATTCTCTTCTATATAATTATTATATACCGTTTCGCATGTGAGTTGAGAATGAGAGAGCTACACCCGACGATGCGAAAGATGATACTGCCCCTGTGATTTCTCTGGATATTGAAATAGAAAGTAAATGCCAATGCATGCACATGCAAGTCAACCGACTTCTCTCTCTGTTGATTCAAGTACTTTGCTGCATCAACGATATAGGCACAGAGCTGGGCTAACTCGGCAGTCATACTGGCTCCTTTCCCCTGCACATTACAATGAAAGACTGGAGGAATGCATCAGAGGCCCCCCCCCCGTAAACAGATGAGAATTTGTGTATATATAGTATAGAGTGGAACCCCTCCCCCCTCTCTAAGGACACCCCTAATATGAGGACACTTGTCCCCAAGAAAGTGTTTTTCTTGCATCCAATTTAACCCTGAATTAAGGACACCAAGACAAAACGACGCTTTCTTCAATCTTAGTGGTGCACAGATTAGAGGGATTCCACTACTATTACAATATTAAAGGGGTACCTCACCTCACCACATTTTCAGCTAAAATCCGTAGCGCTGGAAGTATTATATAAAATGTCTTCGGGTATGAGGGATGCAGTGTAAGACTTACAGTGGCTTGGTTGGATACAAACTTGTGTACGTCATCGACTATAATGGAGTCATATGGAGTAGTTTCGTCTTGGCAGTGGGGTATATGAAGCGTAGTGAGGAGGTGGAGAAGCTCTGTCAGATTGGCTGGGTATCTACAGAGAGTGTCCGTATTAGTGAGGTGTCCTTATTTCAGGGGTTAGATCACATGGAGGAAACTGTTCTATGGGAAAGAAAAAGTGTCCTTTTTAGAGAGGTGTCCTTGTGCTTAGAGAGGGGTTCCAATGTAGCTTCTTTCAAACAGTGTTTTTTACAATAGAATTGAAATGTATTCTCCTCAAGACGTGTGAGTCGGGCTGACAGATGGACTCGGAGCCGAGAGTCTGAGGTAGGAGGGGCAGAGACTCCAGTGGTGAGGGGGCAACGAAACAACACACATTGACCTCTCCTTTCTGCCCAGTGCAGCGCCTGACGAAACAAGAGAGATGTCTTCCCACTGAACCAAAAAAAAGACGAAATCACTAAAATTTACAAAAGGTGTGCCTTCATGCACCTGGACGGTGGACCAGTCAGGCAAATTCGGCTGCAGTCCAGCATTTTGAGGGCGGGCTTGCGCGTGCGCAAAGGTGTGGGCTTGCGCAGAACACAAAGCGCTCGATTGGGCGGGGCCGGGGCCAGCCGTCTGTTGCCGCGACACTGCCGTTCGTCTGCACAGGACGAAGTGTCGAGCGTTCGTCATGCATAACGCTGGACTTTTACTCCTTCTAGTGGCTGCAGTGGTGGGGTCAGGCTACAGTCAGCAGCACTACTGCTCGTATCCTAGTAGTACCGAGCTGGAGAGTGTGATTGCCGCCATCATCGCCTCAGGAGATGCTGCAGCTGAACCCACGATAACTCTGCTGGATTTCAACCCCGTCTGTCGTTCATTCACTGACCGACAAGACCTCCTACGTGGAGTGTCAGTCGTGGTGCACTACACTTGCTCTGGTCACTCCAGCTGCCGATCAGGAACTGTAGTGGAGCAGATTGAGTCTGGTTGTCTCGGTGAAGGGTGGACCAATAATGTAGAAGGCTCTACTGAACCGACACTTATCCGTTCACAAACCACTGAAGCCAGTCTTTCTACCGCTGCCAGAGAAGACTGTTCAGCTTGTGTGTCTCCAGAACTAGCAAACACCCTGGGTATCACAACTGATAGCGTAACTCACTGTGTAGGTAAGTGCATCGTGTTTCTGTGTTAAGTTACAGCAAAATCTTATCGTACTAACTTCATGGCTTTGCGATATGTAGCAAAACTGGATGGCATACAATGACCTATAGCTAATAAACGGTCTGTCATTTCAGCTAATGTTTATCATCAATACTATCATGCATAATACAACCACAAAGCTGGTGAAACACAATTCCCCCAGGGAATGCCTGGTATTTATTTTCTACCCGCCCTAGGTGTATATTTTGGTGTTGTGGTTTGGCAGTAGGCCAGGACCTAGATTGTCCATAACCATGTAATCACACTAATTACTCTTTGCATGCCTCTCTAATGCACTAATGACATCAGGTGTGACAATTACACATCCAGTAAAAGCCACAGCTGTGCTTGCAGTAGCAACTGATACAACAGCCTATAGTCATTCATTCTCCCCTCGCCATCCTTTAATAGACAACTATTTGTTTGTTTTCCTGGTTTCTTCTAGCCTTGTTACTCTGACCACACAGGAAATCCATAATAAAAGTTCCTATATACCCAGGTGCACTCATCCCCCTATCCCCAGGGTATTACCCTTCACTTGCTTTGCTGGTGTTGTTTATCTTTCGAAATCGCTCTCTCTATATGTCATCTACATATTATTTCCCATGCTAGCATGCGATTCGAGCTGTACCAATGGATCCATGCGGTGCCACGATTTCGGAGCTGGGAATTGCTGTCCCTTCTATGACAACAGTATCGTGTGTGGAAGATTGTCCGGCTGGACTTGAGCCAGATGACGACTTTGACTGCAACTGCACTGGCAACTTTCTGAACCCACCAGACTGCAACGGTGTGTGTATTGTGTTGGCTAATGTGTCAAATACAAGTTTTTTTGACCGTAATAAGAGTTGTGTCTCTTGCTTGTGTATAGACTTTCTTAGGATGTCAAAAATGTTATACACAATGTGTTGTATGGTTTTCAGTGTTTGTCAGGTTAAAAGAATTATGTTGCATGCATTTTTGACGTCCTATAATATACCAAAGTGTAGAATACCCTTAATTCTATTGTCAGCTCTTTAGTTGAGGATTGTGCTTGGAAACGACACATTTCTCACAAAACACACTCACTTACACCTTATCCCCACTACTACCAACTACACAAACACACACGTGCATACAATTTTCACCGCACACACTCATTCTCTATATCCCATCAACAGTCTGTGGACTACCGTGTGAGAATGGAGGGACACCCGAAGAAACAAACTGTACTGAATGCATGTGTCTTGGAGGATATACCGGACAGTTTTGTGAGCTAGATATCGATGAATGTGAAGAAGATATGCCTTGTCTGAATGAAGCCACTTGTCTCAATACCAATGGATCTTTCACTTGCATGTGTCCCCCAGGATACACCGGACAGTTTTGTGAGCTAGATATAAACGAATGCGAAGAAGATATGCCTTGTCTGAATGAAGCCACTTGTCTCAATACCGATGGATCTTTCACTTGCATGTGTCCCCCAGGATATACCGGACAGTTTTGTGAGCTAGATATCGACGAATGCGAAGAAGATATGCCTTGTCTGAATGAAGCCACTTGTCTCAATACCGATGGATCTTTCACTTGCATGTGTCCCCAGGATATACCGGACAGTTTTGTGAGCTAGATATCGACGAATGCGAAGAAGATATGCCTGTCTGAATGAAGCCACTTGTCTCAATACGATGGATCTTTCACTCGCATGTGTCCCCCAGGATAACCGGACAGTTTTGTGAGCTAGATATAAACGAATGCGAAGAAGATATGCCTTGTCTGAATGAAGCCACTTGTCTCAATACCAATGGATCTTTCACTTGGCATGTGTCCCCCAGGATTATACCGGACGTTTTGTGAGCTAGATATAAACGAATGCGAAGAAGATATGCCTTGTCTGAATGAAGCCACTGGTTCAATACCATGGATTCTTTCACTTGCATGTGTCCCCAGGATATACCGGGACAGTTTTGTGAGCTAGATATCGACAGATGCGAAGAAATATTGCCTTGTCTGAATGAGCCACTTGTGTCTCAATTACCGATGGATCTTTCACTTGCATGTGTCCCCCAGGATAACAGGACAGTTTTGTGAGCTAGATATCGAGAGATGCGAATGAAGATATGCCTTGTCTGAAGAAGCCACTTGTTTAAATACCAATGGATCTTTTCACTTGCATGTGTCCCCCAGATATACGGACAGTTTTTGTGAGCTAGATATAAACGGAATGCGAAGAGAAGAATATGCCTTGTCTGAATTGAAGCCACTTGTCTCAATACCGATGGATCTTTCACTTGCATGTGTCCCCAGGATATACCGGACAGTTTTGAGCTAGATATCGACGAATGCGAAGAAGATATGCCTGTCTGAATGAAGCCACTTGTTTAATACCATGGATCTTTCACTTGCATGTGTCCCCCAGGATATACCGGACAGTTTTGTGAGCTAGATATAACGAATGCGAAGCTAGATATGCCTGGTCTGATGAAGCCCACTGTCTCATACCACGGATCCTTCACTTGCATGTGTCCCCAGGATATCACCGGACAGTTTGTGTGCAGTATCGAGAATGGAAGAAGTATGCCTTGTCTTCAAGAAGCCACTGCTCAATACCGATGGATCTTCACTTGCAGTGTCCCCAGGATTACGGACAGTTGTGAGCTAGATATCGTACGAAGCGAAGCTGTATGGCTCTGTTTATCCATTGTGATCGACTTGCACTGCTTGTCCCCAGGATATACCGACAGTTTGTGTGAGCTAGATATCGACGAATGCGAAAGAAGATATGCCTTGTCTGAATGAAGCACTTGTCTAATACCATGGATCTTTCACTTGGCATGTGTGTCCCCCAGGATATTACCGGACAGTTTTTTGTGAGATAGATAGTCGTACACGATATGCTGCAGACTGCTATGCCGTCTTGTCTGAATGAAGCCACTTGTCTATCAATACCAATGGATCTTTCACTTGCATGTGTCGCCGAACCAGGATATACGGACATGTTTTGTGAGCTTAGATATCGATGGAAGTTGAGGAGTGGCGAGGACTTCCCGGATGGCGAAAGAGATGATTCTGTTCCTTGTCTCAAGG